CATAAGTTGTCACGGACTGTAGATCGTATAATATTATTATCTTGGTCCGTGACCGTCATCGTTATAAAAAACAAAAATTATCTAAAATGCATATAGTAGGTATTATCATTTTATTGTTATGTGAATAATGCCATACTATGTGTCTATATACCATAAAAATTCTGTACAATCAAAAAAAGACAGCCCACATACATTTAATTTGCGATCCTCCTCACTCAAGTGAAAATATGTACTCTTTACGTGTACTCAGGTACTCTATAATCTATTGACACTTTTATGATGTTTACGGAGCTCGAAATTTCTCGCTACTATAATATATAGTTATTTTCTGAGTGGACATTAATCCGCAGGTCGTTTAAACGTTAATGATGGGGTTCACAAGCACTTAAACTTAGATTGTTGGCTGTATCATATTTTTAAAAAAAATTATCATTTTAATTTTAATACATATTTTGTTACACATTATATCACCTATAAGTAAATTTAATGTTATCATCAAAATATCTTCATTCTTAAATAAATTGACAACATATATTTCAATATTAGTTTTCGTCTTATCGAGAATAGTCTAATTTGAGAATAAACAGCAATCAATATCAAGATATTAAAGAAGAACATTTTTTTAATGATTTCTTTGACTTATTATTTAATATGCAGCTGTGAATAATATATTGCTATGAAAATATCTGAGGAGTTCAGTCACCCCAAGCGAATTTGGTTGAAAAAAGGTCGTACAGAAATGTGTTGAGGAAATGATCACAATCTCCTTTCATGAACAAATTTTTGTATGCACTAAAAATGGTATAAGTAAATTAATATTTTATGTTTTACGCTTACCATATAAGACACAATTAAAATATCATTTAATACCTAAGCATACGTAAATATTATTTTATTAAAAAATAAGACGATTCATTAAACACAATTAAATCACGAAAAAAGTAACACCTTTTGAAGGTAAATAATATCAATGACTTATTAGTTAACATTGTATAAATATAACTAAGTACAAAATGTTGACAATAATTATAAGGGAATCACATATTCGGTTTTGTGAAAAAAAATTAATCTATACACGAAATTAAATAATTATTTGACATTTATAAAATTAAAATAACAAATAAATTACAAATATTAGTGGACAAGTACAGGCGTTTAACTTCATAATATCACATAWAGTAGGTATCCAGTGCACATTGTCATTGAAAAAGGGTCATTGTATAATGAACGGGTTAAGTCTGATTTCAATAAACATTATACATATRATATGACAACGATTATTAAGCATATATCGTGTCATTACTACATTAGTATATAGCTATATTGTTGGTACTCATTTATTTTACTATTATTATTTATTTATTTATTTA